TCTGACCGAAACGTTTTTTATTAAAATTGTTTATATTTTTTGCGTCAGAAGTTGTCCATCCTTGCAATTTTTAAACTTTCTATATACATATATATATATATATAATTTTTTTCTAGTTTTTAGTTTTTATGTAAATACGTTCCACCTGAAGAAGGCCGAAGGCCGAAACGTCGCCACATTAAAGCTGGAACAGTTAGAAGTTTGCTTCATGTTTCATCGTTTTACACTTACTTAAAATTTACATTGAAGCACTGTATCCTCCTTGGATCCTTCTACTGGGAGCTCATCGTTTGGTGTACCTTTTTATTCTGCGTATATATATATATATATGTGTATATCAAGTTCTCCGCAGCTCAGTGGGGAGACTGGTGGACCGCGATTAGCGCGCCTAGTCAGGGTACAAATCATCGTCAGGGGAACGTGACATCGAATTTCATTTTGTATTCTGTGTATTTATTTATTTGTTTTTCTATTTTATGCTCTCATGCAATATTTATATTACGATATCTAATACATCTCTTTACTTTTATGCCAATGTTAAAACCGTGTTTCTCTTTTCACCAGAAAGCGTTTTTGTTGGATTTCGTACTTTAATCAATAGTATTTCTCCTCGTAATTATTCAATGAAACATTTTGCTACTACCATGGTAACTCGTGGAGTAACACGTGAAAACTCTATTTCTCCAGGGGCTTTCCTAATGCATTCCCGAAAGGCGAGGAAAAAAAAACCAGGCGTCATAACGGTGACTGTTCATTAGTAATTGGTCAGTCTTCTCATTCCATATTCATGACAATTTGTGAAGTTTTCTCAAAGCAAACAGGTCATGAACGAGTGAGGACGTGTCACTGTGAAGTTTCTGTGTTTGTGCCAATAAAATGAAGAATCTGCTTGAAAGTTGTTTGAAGGTAAGCAATGGTGTTAGAGAACAAGCCAGAATAATCTTATCGTTCTTTCCGAAGGGATAATAAACTTGTTAAGTAAGGAAGAAGACAGGTTTTTAGTTCGCTTCATGCTTCGCCTTCGACTGAGACAAATGTCGATGAATTGCAAAGGAGCATGAAGTGCGAGCACAGCAAAGCCACGTGCACTTTATCTCTTCGGTGGTTGTCCTTCTGAACGCGCGGAGAAATTGGGGCAAAAACTTTTTAACATAAACCAGTAACCTTGTTAAAATGAACTTCTTTTTGAAAACACGTTTTGCAACTCAAATTATTCGTTCGACTTTAATTTTCTGAGCTCTCCTTTTCTCTTCAAATTTTTTATCAAAAGTTGCTTGTAAATTAGCCAAACATTAAACTTTGTTTTATTCATCTCTGCTTACAGGATGAATGAGGTGATAAAGATGACCGCAAAACGAAGAATTCAAGAAAAAAAACTGAAATCAACGAATCCAAAAGAAATTCTACAAAGATAAGAAGAACTTTGAAATTAATTATATTATTATTATATAAAAATGGTGGCTGCCTAAATTTCTAAATTGGCTTGTGAACCTCGGCTGATTGAATCATCAAATACGAATGGGAGTTGGAGGAGTAAAAGAAGGTGAGGAGGGATTCTTTATGTAAGACTTGCTTCAGGTGATGGCAGCCACCATTTTTAGTTGGATATTCTAAACTTTGTAAGATGGCACTGCAAGGCAAATGGCTTTTGAAAGAAGAAATGTGAAAATTAAAACAGGCACAGATTATCCAGTCATTGTTGTGAAATTAGAACCGAGAAACAAATTGATCGAAGTTTTTCCGAGAAAATGCTTTCATTATTTATATCACAACAAACTTTTTCAGGAAAAAAATCATTGTTCTTGTTTTAAGCAATTTTTTTTAATTCTGGAAAAATACGATTTCTTAAGGGTAATTCGTCTACAATTTTGTCAATGCAATAATCAGTGCCGCCTTAGAAGATTCACATATTTTCTTTGTAGTTTTATTGCAATGGACAAGAGAACGTTGGCAACATATAACGCTTTACGGGAAAATTATTGAAATACGTTTTGTCTGACTAGTACAAAAGAATACCTTTGTCCTATTCGTTTGTTATGAAACAATCCCACTTTGGTGAAGCTACGTTAACGATACATTCGCCGCCCTAAACAATGACGAAATTGACGAGCAGAACACCTAGCTGACATTAAGTTCCTTGGAAAATTCCAAACCTTTCTGAAACCGAGAGATTAATCAGACAAATATTATTCTATAATCCGAAATCACAACAAGTTACGAATATTAAGATTTGAAGAGACGGATAGACGAATTTGTAAAGTTGGTGATACCCCTGAGAATTTTCTCTGACATAAAACTAAATAATTTACAAGTAAACGATCTTTAAAGAAAAAAAAAATGCAAGTTTGACTTAGACAAAAATAAAGCTCGCTA